ATCAACACGAGACTTTCACTGTGCTGTTTTACCAGGTCTCAGTGATACAGTGGTTATTTTTAGCACATTTCGTCATATGCATTAAAAGTTACATTTAATGTTGACTTTAAGTGGATGTAATATGCCTGGAAGTTCAACAGAAGTCTGAAATGTCAGTGATGACCTGAACCCTTTTAAAGTACTGAATAAATTAGTTGGATTGAGATTAAAAACATTTGTGAAGTTGTTTTGTAAGAACTCAAGCATAGGTGGATTCTGTTCACTATTTTCTGACTCTGTTTTTCTTAAAAATCAACATTGTATGCAATATGTCCAGGTCACTGGAAGGAGGCCCCGGGGCAGACCCACGGCACACTGGAGAGATTGTGTCTCTTGGCTTGCCTGGGTACACCTCAGTGTCCCCTCAGATAAGCTGGAGGAGGTGGATGGTCTGGGCGTTCTTGCTTAATCTGCTGCCCCTGTGACCTGTTCGCAGATAAGTTAATGAAAATGCATGGCCAGGTCTGGACAATAGATGCTGATGGTTCTCATTGTTGGTATAAAAAGCTTTACGACTTTCGCTAGGGTCAGGTTTTTATTGTCTACCAGCTGTGTCAGAGCATGCCTGAAAGAGCAAAAGCTTGAGGGTAGATCCTGGTTAGTAGTGGTGGTTTCCTACCAACAGAGTCTGATAAAGAGGTGTTGGAAGTGCCACAGGTCCACCTCTCAACTCATACAACTTAAAGTTATTTGTTAGGTTTACCAACACTGGGCCAGATTTTATGTCGGGTTCTTTTAAACATGCTGGGGCTTCTGTGGCAAGAATTCCACAGGCTGTGCTGTGGGGTTCAAAGTGGCTGAAGAATGAGGAGAACAGAGGGATGACAATGTTGACGTTGGACCCGATCCTGAAAATAATAAGGCCTTGGATGGATGTCAAGCATGGGAAGTTTTTATAGTGACCCACGTTTCATATTGATGTTTTGAACTGGTCCGAAAGTTTGGAGCAAAATACAGTGGTCCCTCATTTAGTGCGGGAGTTCTAAAAGTAACCCGTGACCGGTGAAATCTGCGAAGTAGCCAGCTTTATTTCTTTTACAATTATTATAGATATTTTAAGGCTGTAAAACTCATCACAACACACTTTATACACTTTTCTCAGACAGGCATGAACCTTTTCACACTTGTTAAACACTCTTAAAGTTCAAACCGTCGTAGAAAAATAAGTCCAGTATTAGGGATGGGTATCGTTTAGGTTTTATCCGATACTGGTGCCAAATCGGTACTTTTGAAACGGTGCCGGTGCTCAAACCGGTGCTTAAAGTATGGAGAACACAAAATTGGTCCAAAAACCTCTCATGTTCAGCTGGTTTTTCGTAAAAAGATAACAATGTTAGCCTTTTCTGCAGCTATGGGGCATATATGGTATCACTCTTGGCTGGAAGCAGTGCTTAAACAATGGAAAAAACACAAACTTTGTCCAAAAACCTCTCATGTTTAACTGTTTTCCACTTTTTCTTTGGTCATTTTAGCCTTTTTGGCCAGGGTGAAGGGAGTACCTGCCATCAAACAAGAAGACAGCTGCATGTAGCTATGATGATGTTTGCTAGTTCACCTTACATGCATTAATGTAATAATAACATGGTTAGCCAACGTAAATTACACACGAACAACATTAAGCGACTCACGCAGAGAAGAACGGCTGCTGCTGCCATCATCATCCGTCATCATTTCTGCTACACTGGCAGGGCTAGGGGCCAGGACTCTCCTCTTCGGGTTTTTGGGGGATGTTGCTAAATCCGGGTCCGATAACAGGCACCACACCCGCAGTAGATGTGCTCAGTGTGAGGTCTCGCAGCAAGCTATCAAATACGGCGCATTTCTCGGCTTTTAAAACAAAAAAAACCCCACTATGCGTCGCCAGGTGTTTCATCGGATTTGAGGTGTTACCTCCTTTGACAGTATCACAGTATCAGCTTAAAGCACTTGTTGCAGGCTGCTGAGTTTGCATATTTTGCTGTGAAGTACAGCCAGACTTTGACCGCTTCACCTTGGGCATTTTTAATCTGTAGCTCTGCTCTAAAAGAACGTACGTACCTGGACCCGCCTATTATCCTCGGAAACGTAAAATGATTGGCTAGAAGTGTATCACAGCTCAGGAAAATAAAGCACCGAAATGTGCGCTGCTTTTCGGTCTGGTTACTACCATTTATGTCAGAACCGGTGCCATGATGGCACCAGACAATGGACAAGTATTATAGGACAAGTATTATAGGACAAGTATTATAGAATGAAACTAAAGATCGAACCCTGTTTTCAGGTCCAGAACATGGGGAAATTGAGCAGCTGCGAGAGAATTCAACATTGATGAGGAATGAGTTCAGAAAAATTTTACTTATCTGACTGTTTTGTTTTGCTTAATGCGCCTTATAATGCAGTGTGCGTTATGGTCTGAAAAATAAGGTAAAGTCCAACTTTTTGTGCGATGGTTAGCATCTTCCTCTGCCTTTTAGATGCTACCACAGGTGCCTTTGATGTTGCAAAATGTTTCGTCTGCATTGTTGTGTTTGTTGGGGAGAAAACTTACCAACATACAGTACAGCACTTTTCAGAGTCACACTGCTAGCGATCAAGGATTTATGTAAATTTGACAAGCTGAAAGCATTCTGTACTGTACAGGAGACACGGCACGGAGGAGATCGAGTGACGATGGTCTACAGCCAATCAGGAGGCAGAACACAACGCAAAATTGCACAAAAAAAAAGAAATCCGCGAAACAGCGAGACCGCAAAAGGTGAACCGCGTTATAGCGAGGGTCCACTGTATTAAATGAACCAATTTCAGGACCATGGACAGTGCGTACATTTTTCACCATGTTCACATAAGCTATGCTCTAGCACATGGCTGTTTGAGTGGTCGACCATACTAAACAAATCCAGTGGAAATTTTTTTTACACTTGTATAGAAATAAATGTTTGTCAATCAGGCATTTCCAGTTTAAAGTGATGTAATTATTTTTATAGAAGAATGCGAAAGAATTCAATGTTGAACTATTGTCGGCTGGTTTACAGTCCTGCCTGTCAGTTCCTAAATCCTGTGTGCATTATAACAACTCTCTACCAGACTGCAACTGTAGGCCTACAATTAACATAGATGTGTATGACCTACATTTCTATGCGTTTTACAATTAACAAGCTGCACCTGTCCTGTTAGAAACTACCCCCAGCTAAATATCTTGTTAGTTTGTGACAATGCACAGCTCTTGGCAGATTGGGTCATAATGAACTGAACATACTCTGACTGTGTTTGGAAAACGGTGCAAAACTAACATCTATCAAAGCAATTTGGGGGATTATACAATCTATGTGTCTATTTAGGTTCATGTAAAACACTCTTGCACTTTGCAATACCTGGTGGTATTTCATCCAATACCATCAGGGAGCGTTATGGCTGTCCTGTGTTCGTTCTGTTGCATGATAACAAGTACATCTCCGTAGCCAGAGTCATAAAGAACTATCTTCAGTGACACGAAAAAAGAAAAGGATTCCTGTAATAGTCTCCACAGAGACTCCACCGAGCCTTCATCTCAGTATTGTGGAGTGAGTCTGGGTTACATGAAGAGGAAGAAGTCACTGAAACAATCTGAATGCACAGAAGATACTTTGAACAAACTATATGCCAATTATCTTGAAAAATTATGCACAAGTGTACCCAGGAGAATTGCTGGCAATTTGAAGGCAAAATGGGTTGTCATAACAAATATTAATAGAAGATGTAAAAAAAAGTTTATGATTTATTAAAAGAAATAATTCTCACTGCTACTGCCTAAAAACTGCGTGGCTCTAATATACTATAATGAGACTGGGGACACGTTGCTTTTATACTCTTGTCAGTATGACCAAGCATTGCACAATTTCATCTGGTAATTTGCCAATTTGTTTATCCGTATGTCCTTACTAAATTTTCTTCTTGTTTCTGCTTAGTGCCAGCACAATTCAAGCATGGATGATTACATTTTTATTGTGTCTTACAGAGCATCCTTGGAAAGATCTTAATGGGGAAGAAATGACAAGGACTTGGCAAATAAACTGATTTCTATTGACTCTCATTGTAGCTTGTGGAGCTTTTTCCTGTAGCGTCATCTAATCCTTTACAGGCGCGCAAAAAAACCAGCTATAAAACCTTAATTTATTACCGTATCATGTCATATAGTTATGTCTGCGCTTACAGGAATGGACAGTGATGGCTCCATGCACAAAAAGGGTCTGTCGCTTAAGCTCAGTAATCCCAGAACAGTGCTCAAGGAAGCATTTTCTTCTCATTAGCAAAATGGTGAATGATGTAATTTCTCCAAAGAATGGTGTCTTATTCTTCCAACAGAGCTTCAGTTACTTGCAAAATTTATGTGTTAGCGGCTGGCCTTATTCTATCTGCAATTAGCTTTAATTTGCTGTGATCTCTGTAGCTGCCGCAGTTCAAAGCCATTAATGTTTTGACCTTGTATGTGAGTATTTGTGACTGTTAGGTGACTGTAGATAGCTGTGACCGCCTCCACAGTGTGCCTGTTGTACACACAAGAACTCCACCACCTTTCCTGTGTCTTTGTAGTGCAACTGAGTGTTACAGAATCCTTCCTGCCACTGTTAGAGATAATTGGCACTCCATAAACACATGATAATTGGACTGCTTTGATCCCTGCAATTTCTCACTTCTTGGCCAAAGAGGCACAGCAGTTCTGTCTCATGTTTACCACTAGTCTTTATGTGGCAGCGAGAGGATAGAGAGAGTGAAACGGGGGAGAGAGAGAGATTCTGTTTTCTTCTGAAGTGTTAAAAGCTCCCTGCAGGCATTACTTCCTGCATCCAGCCTCTTTTGCCATTGTTTCTCCGCTGCTTATGGCCATGACTCATAACAAACTTTCTCTTTCGCACACACATTCACACACGCAGAGCTTAATCACGTTGTGAAAGTCTTCAAGTAATCTTGTTTCTCCTTGTTTGTCCGTGTGTCTTCTTTTCCAGAGAGCCAGAGGGCGTATCGCTTTGTCCAGGGGAAGGACTGGGGTTTCAAGAAGTTCATAAGGAGGGACTTCCTGTTGGATGAGGCCAACGGTCTGCTGCCTGATGACAAACTAACTCTTTTCTGTGAGGTAAGAGGTGGAACTGTTCATTAAAACTCATGTTGTTTGTTGAACTAATTTCACTGTGTCTTCATTTTTAAGCATTCACAGTACAGGCTGCACCTCCAAAAATGAAAATCCTTATCAAAATGATTGTTCATGAAATGGGATATTTCAACATTGACATCATATTCTGAGCTGTGTTTCTATTAGTTGAGCTATTTGGATTAACCCAGAATATATCATTTTTATTAAGTCCAACCTATAATTATTCAGTTTTGCTGAAATACCTACATTTCCTGTGTTTTGGTGGTTTTGCCCACAAGTGATCACAACTCCTATTTCACTGAGTTGTTTTTTTGTCACTACTACTTATTCTATGTCCCTCTTAGTTAATAATGTATGTTTTTATTGGTACTACATACTCTCTGGGTTTCTCTCTTTCATCACTAACATACAAGCTGATTGTCATTCATCCTGCATGGTGGCTTGGCTCCGATTCCTCTGATCCAAATCTGGCTGCTGCTCCTCATTGAAAATTCCCTTGTTGTTTTTCAGCTGTAACACAGGGGGCAGCAGAGGTCAACTGTCCTCTCTCTCGTTCCCCTCTGCTACTCGTAATGGAGCCAGAGAAGAGGTTAAACTTTCCGGATATGTTAATGCCTTACTTGTAATGCATGCACCCCATAAATGTTTAAAAAGCATGGCAGTGGCTGTTTAAAACAATTCTAATTAACCCTGCGGGTATGGAGGGGAGCATGTCTTGAAGTTTTCCCTTTTTGTAGCGGTGCAGTGTGCAAGTCTGTTTAAAGTGTTTCCAAACCGGGCTTATCGACAGAGGGGTAGGAGGGGCAGTTGTGCTTCTCCAGAGCCATGAGGGAGGGGGTAGAATTGAGTGTGTGTGCGTGATATCGTATACATATTGTGTGTGTGTGTGTGTGTGTGTGTGTGTGTGTGTGTGTGTGTTTGGTTTCATCCACTCTCCTGAAAGGAAAGCGATGGGGTTGCTGGTTCAAGTCCTCAGTGGCCACTTCCTCCCCTGTAAATATCTGTTGCTGCTGTAATTTGCCAGCTCCGCTGATGAACAAGCAGGACGGCGGAAATTTATATAGCACATTTTAGAGAGAAAAAGTGCTATATATGAAAATTAGATAAATGGAAGATGGAGACATTGGAAGTTTTCATCAGCATAACAGCAACCATTTTTTTAAACTCTAGAAACATTTGGAGGAATGGCCCAAGGTGACCTGAGGGGCACACAGAGTTTATTTTCTCAGAGAAAGTCAGATGTGCAGGCAGCAGTGTTTTTAGAATCAATTCTGAAAGAAAAAAATACTGCAAAGGAGTGTTATTCAAAAAAAAAAAAGGCAGTCTGGAAGTGGGGTGTTTTGTGCGGTAGTGATGAAATTGCCAATATTGAGGGGAGTGGCAGTATTTTTCACCAACATGTGTGAAGAATGGTTGGCAGAGTTAGTTACTGGGTGGAGCATAGTGGGTTGATGGTGGTAAGAAAGTGTGGACGGGTGTTTGAATCTCTTTTCCTGGTCTTTTTCCATGTGAAAGTGATGCCCAGTGTTTACTGTCAGAGACCTGGCTCCACTTTCGTCCAGATGGTCCCATCCTGCATCTGAGAGAGCCCCATCGCCCCAGAGCCCAGCCCGCTCCCTCTTCTCTCTTCTCTCATCTCCTCTCCTTCCTCTTTTTCCCCTCCATCTTATCTCTCATTCAGACCCAATCTCCTCCTCCTCCTTTCCCTTTTCCTTTCATGTCTTGCTGCCTCCCACTTGGAGCATCACAGTTTCTTACTTTTTTCTCCTCATTCTACCTTCACCTCTGCTTCGTATCCCTTGCCTCACCCGTCTGCTGAGCTTCTCTACTTTTACTTCCTTCCTCTTTTCCCTCCCTTAATTCTTCCTCTTTTAGTATTTCTAGTAGAGTGTCAGAGGAAAAAAGGCTATGAAAAGAAGCCAGATTAAGGTTGGAGGGGGGAACTGACTCAGCCGCTCCTCCTGACCCCCTGGTCTTTCTGTTCGGTTCAGTTGCCTCCAGAGACATTAGTAATTCAAATTTAACACAGTGAAATCTGTCTATGTCTGTCTATGTGTCATGTCAGAAAGTGCCTAAACAATAGCTGATGTGTTTTCTCTCTGTCTCTTCCTTTGTCTCCATCTCTTTTTGTCTTTCTATCCCTGCCAAACCACTGCAGACACCTTGCAGGTATTTAATGAGGAGATGGCTCCCATTAAAGGTGCTGCGTTGGCTGTCAAAAGAGAGCATGAGGGACAGGGGGAGATAAAAAGGAGGGGAAGAAGGCACAGAGAGAAGAGACTGAAGGAAAAGCCTTCTTGCGAATGTGGGCACAATGGGTGGCATCAAGCCGCAGGGGTAAAGAACAGATGAAGATGGAAAAATAAAGACGATAAAGGACAAAAACAAAAGGCCAAGATTGGATTTGGAGTTGGTTTTTTGTTTTTGTTTTTTTACCTTCATTTTGCTTCCTCCTCCTTTAATGCGATGCTGAGGTAAGGGAGGTTAAACCCTCTCTCTCTGTAACTGACCTTCTCCTCCCCTGTCAGCAACACGGGTAACCGCTATCTCTAAGGTCAAACCACTGCTTATCCTATTGTTCATGCTACAGGTAATGCAGATGCTTAAGAGAAATTTTAGAGTAATGCCAGACTCACTCGGGAGGACCAGTGGCTCCTCAAAAAAAGAAACCCAACAACTTTGGGCTGCCGTTATTTGCCTGCTGGCAGAGTCGTGTTGACTGACAATGTAAGCGTTAGTCAGAAAGTCTGTTTTGATTGACTAAAGGGGAAAGAAGAAGTTGTTTTGGAAAGTTTGTAGTGAAACGTACCTGTCAGTCATTGTAAATTGGCCACTGAAAAGCTGAGGCACAGTGGTCCCCTTTTACTCCATAAGAACTAGAGTCACAGAACTAACGTTGCTGCACAGATATGGTTTATTTCTCCTCCTGTCCTGTCTGCTGTGGCTTCAGGGCCTTATTCCAGGAAGTGTATTCAACAAACTCTGAGTTTATTTTTAAACTCAAAGTTCAGCAACTCTGAGTGTCCTGCTCCAGTATGGTGGGTCAGAGTAAGTTTCGACAGCGCTTGAGTATTTTTTTTTTCCTGAGTTAAGCAGAGAAAGAAAGCCATCATCTGACCTCCATTTTAATCCATTGGACCAAAAGAGTGTGCATGAGACTTAGCTTGTATAGCTCTACCATAAACATAGACAGAATAAAAGTTTGATACAAAAATAATAATTCTTTTAATACTGGTCACAACTTGAATTTTCAATAGAAGCTGGAATCCCTGTTTCAAATTTCAACCTGCCGGGGACAAAATGCAAGTGGAAAAAAATGACAGAGAAACAGATAAGACAGTTTACTAATTGACCCGTGACATTAGTTATCCAGATAGAAATAAACTCTGGGGTGCATCCAACCTCAGGCAGTTATAAAATTATATAAATAACATTTTTTAAATATTAAGTAAATGTTTAATAGGTTTCAATAAGTGTTAAAATGTAAAATCTGACGTAATAGTTGACTTCATCCTTAAATTAGCATCTTACTGATTAGCACTTATGTTAAGTACTGGGATTTTCAAGTTTGTGAAAATAAAAACTTCTGCAGTTGATTTGCTCTGCATCGAGCTTTGACAGCGACTTTATGAATGAGGAATCGAAACCACAATCAGTTGGTTCAGGTACAGCAGGAGGAGAGTAGTCAAACTCAGTTTGTTGTAGAAAACCTGCCAGCAAGCAGGTTAAGTTCAGAGTCTGTTAACTCAGTAACCAGCTCAGAATTTAGGTTAACTCTTTCTGAAGCAGAAAACTGGAGTTTTGTCGTGTCAAGATTAACAAATTCAGATTTGTTAGCTTATACCAGCTTCCTGAAATGGCGCCAGGATGAACCACAACAGCATCTGTTTCCACCATGCAGAAACGACATTTTCTCGGTCTTAACCTTGGATAGAGATGCCAGTATGTAATATTTTTGGCCTTTTTTGTTGTACACACACAAATTTCTTTATTGCTAACATTGTGGTCAAAATGTCAAATCTTAAAAAGACAAATATAATTTTAGAAAGGAAAACGTGTGAAAAACAGGATTCAGGTGTGAGAACCAAACTGGAACCTGTTGATTCCTTTTTTTTTTCCCCATCCACAATCAGGGTTTGTATTTTGCCCCTGCAACAATCACTTCAATTCACTGGGGAGTATGCAGAGGGAAAATGACTGTTGATAAAACCTGGATTGGCATTGATTTTACTTCCCATTCAAGCACCAAACACTCGTAAACTTGAGAACTACTTCATATTTGGCGGCTGTCTGATTTAGACATAAATTAACCGCTAAGCTGGAGATGAAGTTTTCAGATGGGGACATTTTTTCAGGTTCTGTAAACATCACTGGAAAGTGCCACAGAGAAAAGAGAAAAAGCAAGTTTGTTTAATAAGTTAGAGCTTCTTTATCAGCAGTGGAGTGACGTAGTTCAAACTGAAACAGAATATGTATGGAGGTGGTTTTAATTATAAGAAGATTCTAAATCATAAATGTGGGCTGCTTAGTAAATATAGCATAGAAGAAAGCTGCAGAGAGATAAGAAGTGAAAAGGAGTTGAGGAAGAGCATAGCCAAACCACACTGTTTGATTCAGAAGAGGAAAATTAAATTACCGTAGTAAAACAGGCTATAACCACAGTTTTTGAAAATTGGAACAGTTTTTCCAAATGAAAACCCAAAACACCCTTCATAATATGATAGTACAGTTCTGGCTGCCGTGGTCTTCAAGCTAGCGGTGAAGATGGCTCATGTGTTGCATGTTGGGTAGAGCATTTATTCATGGCCACCTAAGATGTTTACTAGACATGTTCAGCAGTCTATTTGCATGCTAGAGTTTGACGGTTGCTGTGGTCAGTGTATCAGTCTTTACTATATGCTGAGGAGACTTATCTAAATACAATGGGCAGAACAAAATTCATGGATCATTAACAGGATTAAAGTTTGATTAAGCTTGACACT